ACCAACTTGCGACCTAATGGTCGCGCGCCTCAAATGATGGGGTGGAACGTTCACTTTCCTGGAAAAATTTCAGCTGCTAATAAACTAACTCTACTAACTTCCTAACCATCTACCTGGTAAAAAAAAAATAAATTTAATTAAATATTTAACAAATAAAACGTTCACTTTCCTGGAAAAATTTCAGCTGCTAATAAACTAACTCTACTAACTTCCTAACCATCTACCTGGTAAAAAAAAAATAAATAAATAAATAAATTTAAAAATATAATAATAAATTAAAATAAAAATTATAACATTTGATAATTAAAAATGTAACAATAACGTTACCTCACCTAGAGCCTATACAAACTTTTTTTTTTTTCCGACAAAATATTTTGTCCGAAATTATTGTTAATTAAAGGAGGATAATATGCAAGTTTGTTCTCCTACTTTCAAAACAATAACGTTACCTCACCGTAGGAGTCTATACACCATTTTTTCCGACAAAATATTTTGTCCGAAGTTATTGTCAATTAAAGGAGGATTATATGCAAGTTTGTTCTCCTACTTTTAAGAATTTCCATATTGCGTGATACACATGAGTGACGTGTGCATGCAGACACAAGATCCTTAGTTGATTATGGAGTATGAACATCGAATAAAGACAATGGACAGTAGGAAAAGAGGGAAATGACAAAACTTTGTGTCATATCGGGTACCAACCATTATTTTTGGTCAAGACATGGGTTTGGGAAAGCTTCTTAAACATTCACATGATGATGTAGTAGCTCCCTAAGATCGAAATAGGCCAATTGTTGGATTGAAAACTGCAAATAAAACAAGAATTTTTGTTTTTCCTATGATATCTCCTGAGGTTCATGATGAGGAAAATCATTGAAGTAATGATAATAGTAATAATTTGATATGTGTCGTAGTTATTAAAATTGATATCGAATATTTATATTTCTAGTATATTTAATTGTCAAAAGTAATTATTAGATAATAAAATTTTTATCATTCTATGCCTTAAATAGTTAGAAAAACCAATAAAAGAATAAAGGGTAAATATTCTTGACCTACTTAATTATTCCCAATTGTTGAAACCAAAGATTACTAATATCTCGCTGTCTAACTTCCTAGCTTATTAGGCATGGTGCACGAACTTTCGTTCCGTTCAAAATAAGGCGTTCAAAATTTCAACCCATTCACCTTTCAAATAAATACTACACTCATAAAGAATATATAAAATTGAATTAGAAAGTCTTGGAGGGCAATTTAGTGCATGACCAACAACCTTCATATCATATGTCAATGTATACCACAAATCACATGAGGCCAGATGGACATATCTTTATGAGTTAATACTGCATTTAATAAATGAGAGTTTTGTGCACTTAAGGCACATGTTAGGGGTATATTTATTATATTTTTTATAATTAATTTATATAAAAAATTAAAAAAATTACTTTAATTTTATTTGTTGTCTAATTAAAAATACAGAATGCTATAGGGATCAATCAGTTCCATTACATTTTTATTTTCACTTTTAATATCTAATATTATTTTATTTTATTTTTAAGTCTTGTAATTTTTTTATTCTAAATTATTCAAATTATTAAACATTTATATATTTTAAATATTAAATCTTAAATTTTACAAATTTAAACTTAAACACATTAAACACCAAATTTTAAGAAATCTAAATTTTAAAATTATAAAATACTGAATTTAAAAAATCTAAACCCTAACACTCTAAGCACTTAATCTTAAAAATTTTAAATTTTAGCACTATGAATTTAAATTGATTTTTAAATAGGAACAAAGTAATAAATTTACTTTTTTTTAAAGAGAAAGAATTTATTGGAGCCACAGAGACCGGCCGCCCACGGCTTGCCAGGGCGTCGGTCCCATGGCATTTTCTTTAAAAATATGCTCATGGCATTTGTGATAAAAATAAAATCAAAATT